AACGTGGCAGTGTACAAACTGGAGACATTAATTGAGGGCACAATCTCTTCAAACGGAGAGAATCTGGAAGTTGGCTGAGGAGTGGGGAGAAGGAGACAAGGGGAAAGAAGGCAGAGTGGTCATGTTGTTCGTGATTTGTTCCAGAGACCATCCCAGCCTTGCCCCCACCCCACACTCTTTCTCTTAAGAGGCTCAGCCTTCCTGTACCCGGGAGCACTTCAGAAGGGGCATTTTTAGGTCAGAGGGCTCAGCCCACACTCACAGAGAACATGAAGTTCCTGTGACAACCTGTGAGCAGCCAGGTATGCAGAGGTCTTTGCTTCAGTTGCTTAGCTCTAGTTGCTGTACAGAAAGAGCAAATGAAGCCGTTTGTTTTACCAGGAGGAGAGCATGAAAAGGTCTCCTTTCCTATACCTGTGCCAGAACTATGCTATTTCCTTTTTTACCTGCAGACTGGGCAGGATCAAAAATGATAGCACATTGTTTTTACTTATATTACATAGAAAGAAAAACATTTTTCAAATGTTAAATGATTATTTCTTCTCTGGTTAATTTTCTGTTTGCGACCCTCATTTATTTTTTCTGTAGGTGTGTTCATCTTTCTCTTAATTAAACTGAAAGACCTCTTTATAAATTAAAGACATCAACTCTTTGATAGGCAGATACACTAGAAATCATTTTTCACTTATGTATTTAGCTCTGTGCCCTGACTAGTCATAATAAAAATAATAATAACAACTGTCATTTAACCCTCAAAATATCGTAGTAAGGTAGAATTTGTTCCAGAGAACTCCGAAATTCTTTCTGTATTGTTTGAGCAAGTTTGCTTTTTTTCTATCAAATAAAGATGAGTGACTAAAACTGTGGCCTATGGAATTGGACTGTCTGTTTGCTCCGAAGGGGCCACTTATTATATGTGTGATTTTGTACATTGCCTAAGGTCTGTACTCCTATTCCTTCACCAATAAAATGGGAATAATAATAATAGTATCTACTTGTGGGGGTTGTTCTGAGAATAAAAAGAATATGTGCATCTTAGGCCCATGCCTAGCACATCACAAGACCTCAAATTTTGTTATTGTTTAATAATTGTTTGGTTATTGCTAATGTACAGCCCCATGATAATTTTTGTGTGAGATTTTGAGAAACTTCAGCAAACTTTACAAATAAGAAGGATTGAGGAATTTTTTTTTTTTTTTTTTTAGGTGGTACTGGGGTTGAATCCAGGGCTGCTCTACCTTTAAGCTACATCTTCAGTTCTTTTTTTTTTTAATTTTGAGACAGGTTCTCACTAAATTTCCCAGGCTGACCTCAAATTTGCGATCCTCATGCCTCTGTCACCCAAGTCACCAGGATTACAGGTAAAAGCCACCAGCTGGCAGGATTAAGGTTTTAAAATTGTCTTATTCCAAACCTACCAGTTTTTTTGGTCAGAGGAATAAAAAGGGTGCATTTCATGGGTGTAATATCTCTTCCAGCTTCTCAGCCACTGTGGTTGAAAAATGAGTCACTTTTGTTGTCTTCCAGATTTATGTATGGCTGGAGACTTTCAGGATAAAAAGAATGCCTTGCTATTTGGGGAGGTTGTGTAGGAGGTGGACACTCTGATTTAATTTGAATTTTTTGGCCTCAGTACTGTACTCAAAGGCTCTGAGTACTTAGGCAGCAACCTCTTTTCTCTCCTTAGAACTAAAGTCAAAATATGTTATGACAAGAAAGCTTTTAGTTCATCTAGTCAGTGGGGTTCAAAGTTTGTAGCCCATCAGCAAACCTAACATCGTTTTGAGGGAACTACATACTATAGTCCTGCCTCTGATCCCTGGAACACAAATCTCTGGAATTATGGCCCAGGGGTTGGCTTTTAATAACGACTCCTAAAGCTATTAAATTTGTTAGGGTAAGGGCAAGCTCATGAAACAAAATTTTAGAGTATAGTGCATTTAAAAATATAAATGTTTACTTTTCCTCTCATATAACAGCCCAAACATGAGCAGTACAGATTTACAAAATAACTCTGCTTAGTATAGTTACTCAGAGATGAGGCTTCCATTTTGCTTTCTAGTCTGTTCCTAGGACTTTATCAGCAGTGGCACAATTGAAGACTGGGACACACTCACATCCATTAGGGATCTAGCTATTGAGAGAACAATCACAGGGGAGGCTAGTCCGGTGTGGTAAGACCTGAACTTGTAAGACATCATCACTTTTGCTCAGAAAGCCTGGGAAAGGAAGTGTGGCTGGAAGCCTGCAGCCTCACTGCACCTCTGTGTCTTGAGAAGAAGGAGGGTCGATTTGGATAGAAATGTGAGAACTCTGCTGCGGTGATCCTGACTCATACCAAAGTCTAAGAACCCAGATCTAGTCCAACATCCACATGGCGTAGATAAGGAAATCGAATCCCAGTGAGGATATATCATTTAGGAGTGAGCCCCTTCCCCCAAACTACATGAGGATTTATCTGTGGTGGTAAAGGACTTTCCTTCCTTCAATATCATCTCGGGTGCTTGAGGCCAAGTGCTTGATTTCATTTCAGAATTGTCACTTAAAAGAAATTTAGTACACTTTATGCTGGGAAAATAGAGGGAAGGGTTAGAGACAAGAAGGGAATTTTCATATGCCGTATAACCTGTCAGCACAGCTCAGCCTCATTTCTCTATCCAAATCTTCCTTCCAGACCATTTTTACAATTGAATCTCTCTCCTTTATTGCCTCATTTCATTCCCTCTAACTTTTCCTTTCATCTATAGGGTATAATGTGTCTATGTCTCAGTTATTTTTTTAATAAGTGAAAGGAATACTTGGACAATTACTGGTTGGATGCTCCTTGTGCAATTGAGAAAAAAATCACTAAGGAGGCCAGCCCAATGTGGACTAAGATGAGTGAGTAAAGGGAAAGGAAGGGTGAAAAGACAGAGGCACAAGTTTTGCAATGAGGACGGCAGCCTCAAAACCCAGAGACAGGTTGAGCAAGATGAGACAGAGCATTACAGGCTTTAAAGTCTGCCTGAGGGACTTAAGTATGAAGCTTCAAGACCAAAGAAGCTCTCTCTTGTTTGGAAGCAGAAATGGGACGTTATGAAAATGTAACATTGAAAAATCTAAAATCGTAGGCCAGTTGCCTCATGGGGGAATCTAGGTTGCACGTTATGACATGGGCTTTGAAGGTCGAAAGTGTTAGCTCTCTACAGCACCTTCAAGTTCTGTACCTTTCAGACATCCTAATAGTATGATGATGAGCTAAAACCTGGGAGATCAGGGTACCCAAGAAATGGAAGGCAGAACTCCTGATTCCTTCAGAGAAGTGGAAGGTGGGTCTTAACTAAGCCTCTCTGAAGGATGCTCCTGGCCTAGAGAGAAGTATTTGTTCTGTATTCCTACTCCTCTTTCTGGTGAGGGAAGAAATATGTACTCAATTTTGAACTAACTAGGTTTTTTACTTACACATTAAAAACAAAAACAAAACAAAAAAAAAACTGTTCCAGAGTTTAAATAGTTATTGTCTCTGGGGCTGACATGTTCTTTACCCAGAGCCAGAAGACATACATTTGGAAAGAAGTTACTGAAATGGGAACTAAATTTGAATCAAGCCTGCTTGGACCACTGTACTGTGGATACAACCTACCCTTCCATTTGGTGAATGAGTGGTAGTATCAGACTCGCTACATGGAACTATCCCTGCAATGGACTCAGTTAAGTACATCTCCCTTCCTGTATCCCAGGTTTTTTTTTTTACAGAGGAGAGGCCTTTGGGAGTCAGGCATTGCTCTTAAGATGCTGTCCTCCAGCTGCTGAGTACAAATTTAGTGCTTATTACATACCTGTTTGGCCAAACCCACAGTGAATATTGATTTAAGCAGCCACCACACTGACAAGAAAAGCTCAGCAAAAGGACAAAAAATGTGATTGTCCTGCTTATTGATTGATGGTCTGAGTTTTGCAATTTGAATAAAATGAGAATTCTGCACCAAATGTGAAAAACATTGGGAAAATTGACATAAAGAGATATGTACAACAAGAAAAATGTTACAGTGACATAGCATTCATTTATGTGCATTTATTTTAAATTAGAACATTAAAAAAGAGTGGTCTCAGGATAGAGAGAGGATGTATGAGTTAAAAACAGGAGCATCCATGCACACACCAAAGAACAAGATACTTACCATGCTTCAAGCAGAGCGGTGAACCATGAAGACTCACTACAGTATTATAAAACATCAAATCAAGAACCCATCTGTCTGGAACTCAGCAGAGACATTCTATTCCCATCTTTCTGTATTCCTCATGGTTTTCCACTCCTTTCCCATGGCCCAAGAATAGCAAGACTTTGCTTGAGAAAAAAAACAAAAAATGCAATAAAAGCTTTATTACTTCTCTTTACTGCAACCTATTAGATAAGGAAGAGGGCCAAGGTATAGAGACTGAGTAGTATTGGAGCTGTTGACACTCTGAGCAGCAGCTAAAGGCAAAGGGTCTTTCCCCTTGGCCATCCCCTGGAGGATAGGCAATCCAGGGTTATGAGGTGGGTGCTCACCCGTCTGCACACATCAATGCACACACTTCTTTGAAGGGCAGCGGCAATAATATTTCCCATACTCATTCACTAATTTTTCTGAACAGTCTCATTGGCAATACAATTAACTTCTAATTACCCATTTTGTTTCAGAGCCTCTTTCCTTAAATTGCCTAATTGGGGAAGACTGGTTTTTGGCTTTATAGCTGAGCTAGAACAGAATTCTGTTTAGTTCAAAGAAAGAGCAGGTGTGTGTGTGGAGGGGTGGGGTAGGGAGTATGTGTGTATGTGAGAGACAGAATTTTAACTCCAGGATCAGATATAAATTAAATTTCATTATCCAGTTTTGGATTTTTCACGGATCCAGTTAGAATCAATAATCGAGTTTCCTATAGTGTTAAGGGGTAGACATGAATAACAGAAGGAAAGAAACTATAATGAATACGAATATTTCCTTTACATGGACCCTAGTCCCAAAGCCTTGTCAGATTTACAATTTAGAGCCACTAACTAACCAGCTCATCAGAGAATGACCTGTCAGCACTATCAACATCTTCTTCAATGAAGTAACACTGTGGTATTGGCACCGGTCGTGTTGTTTGCGTGTAGTGAGCTGGCACATAGTGTTCTCCAGTTCTGTGCTCTCACAGCAGCTTATGCCAGGACTCTGTCCACATGTGCAGCTGGGGGCCTTGTGGACCCCGTGGATCACTTCCATGGAGTCATGAATGAAAATATTGCTAATTTTGCATGACCCATTAGCTTCTAAAACTTTTCTCCAGTCAGTCATATTATTGTAACTCTCTTTGTCATTACCTGGCCTGTTTCCTTTAGGAACACTGTAACATAACTTTCTGAATGTCAGTGGTGAGTAAGGAAAAACATCTTTGGACATGCTGAAGCTGGTATTTTTATCTAACAGGGTCAAGTTCACTAATACCTCTCTTGGCCACTTTTTACCATGTCATATTGCACCTCTTCCTCTGAAAATTCTTTAATGATCTCCGTTATGCTTCTGAAGTTCCTGCAAGAACCAACCCCAGACCAAGCAGCAGCAGAGAGAAGGTCTCCATCTCAGATCTAATATAATCTCTTCTGCAGTAATGATAAAAAGATAAAAGATAAAAACAAGGAGAATGTTAAGGAGATAGTTTTTTATCGTTATAATAAATATTTCCCATAATGACCCCTATACGTAAGACTCCTCCATATGTTAATGGAAGCATGATATAATGAAAAGACAAATCAGTTATGTGGTCTTTAAACCCAGGTTCAAATACCTGATTATCCACTTAAAAACAATTCACTCTACCTCATATAACTTCACTTTACCTATTGAAAGAAAGAAAAAGAATCATTATGGTGATAGGCTTAAAGTATTGGAACAAACGATTCATTTCCCTTCCTTTTCCCTTTTTCACACCATTATGGTAGGTCTACTGTTTCCATGGTGGGGCACCAATCATCTCATCTAACACATTCCTCACTGTCTCCTATAGCCCAGCTATATGGCACATGGCAGTTACTTAAAAAAAAAAAAAAAAATCAACACTAAACACACATGCAGAAAATTGCACACAGTGCCATCTCCCCATCTATCCTTTCTTTCCCCCATTTTCATCCATGAGATATCCATCTGTACCTGATCCTTTGGCAAGTTGATCCTGCACAGAAAGATTCCAGGTTGATGCAGGACAAGTGAAACTGTTTCCTGGGAGTTTCTGTTGTTGTATCTAACTAAGGGAAGGAGGAGCAAGAAAGGGGTAGAGAGGATTTTCTGAGATTGATGGAGGAGCTAATGTGGAACCAAGGAAGAACTGAACAAAATGTCCATGGGATCATCAGAATTTCAGTGACCCAGGAAGTCCCTCTGCTTCCTTTTCTGTGAAATCTCCCATATCAATACTTCAACCTAGAGTGATTTTTTTTCTTTTCTTTTCTGAAACCCTGCAGCATGGATTATGCTGCATTTCATTGTATGTTTTTCATTATTCTAGTTAGTTGGCACATTTCAGTCCCTCCACCCGCTTACTGAGGCTGACAACTCCTTGAGCCTGGAACACAAATTCTCATTCATCATCATCATTCTGCACAGCTTAGTGTACTGAACAGTACACACACTAGTTCCTTAACAGTATTTGCTAACAATATAGCCCGGCTTGACCCATGCAGAAAATCACTTATTTGAGGTCAATGCCGGGAAATTCATAAGAATCCCAGAAAACATGGTTATTCATGGTGATAATACCCTCACTCTAGAATGACCCTATTTCCCTTTCCTTTCTAAAAATCTCCTTCTCTTACACATGATTACCATTATGTCCTTCAAAAATCACTGCTCCTTGCTCCTCCGATTCCTTTGATACACCACTTTTCTAAAAACACCACTTGCAATGACACTATCTCAGAATCCTTTAAATATTCCTCATTTCTGCAAAAGGAAGTAAAATCCATGAGCCCACTAGCCAAGTCTCTACTTGATCTGATCCCAAGCTGCCCTTCAAGGTTTATCTCCCATCATTTTGTGACACAAACCTGCTCCAGTCAGTTAGTGTGACCCTCTCTTCCTTGAGTACACATCATACCTTTTTGTTCTTTCTTTTCTGCCTCTTAGAATCCTTCAAATCCTAATTCAGATCCCATCCTTTTTTTGACAAATTTTCCTACCCTTTAAGTCTATCAAATTCATGTCCTAGTTCTCTGTACTTATCATTCACTTCTTATACCACTAACTTGACATTAGTACACACAAACTTTTTAAAGTATTGTATTTTATTTTTAAAATGTTCTATGTGTAAAATTAGAGCAAACATTTAGCATCAAGAATGTATAAGCCTTAATTATTGGGTTGATTATTATTGACAGATTCGCACACCTGTAATCCCAGTGGCTCTAGAGGCTGAGACAGGAGGATTGCGAGTCCACAGACAGCCTCAGTAAAAGCAAGGCATTAAGCAACATAGCGAGACCCTATCTCTAATAAAATACAAAAAATAGGGCTGGGGATGTGGCTCAGTGGTCAAATGCCCTTGAGTTCAATCCCAGGAACAACAACAACAAAAAAAGAAGTGGATGTGTTCATGTGTGTACCTTGAAAGGATACCTTAAGAATAGTACATGTTGGTACATATTGGAGAAAGTAAGGAAGAAGAAGTTGTTAAGAAAAAAAAAGGGAATCATTTTTTCTAAACTTCTACTTCCTTTGCCATTGACATTAATAGAGAGATGATAACAGGAAAGCAGGAAGACAATGAGGAGAAAAATAAACAGGAAGAAGAGCAGGCACAGATGCCTAGATTTTCTGAAATATGTATTTCAAATGGGCAGAATGCACAGCTGCCTGGGATTCATTTCAAATTAGTAGGTGCTCATTAAAATATATATATATAACCCCCTAAATTACAAATGACCAAAATGTCATAATTCATTTGAACTGAATTTTGATCCCTATTAAATGAAAGTATTCTGAGGATAGATTCCACAGGAGTCTCAGTTCCTTGCACTGCAGTGGGAATGTATTTATCTGAAAGATTTGTTTTTAATTAAGAAGAGAGAAGGTTGGGGAAGACAGGGAAGAAAAACCACTGAGAAGGAAAGGAGAGGAGAGGAAACCAAGGGATACTGATAGGAAAAGGAATCAGAATTAGCAGCAGGGCCCTAAAAGGAATGTTAATCTATTCCAAAGTTTCGCACAGGAAATGAAGCTAGCAAGACTCAAGTCCTATGCTAGGGACTACCTGTTCCTTCTTAATTTCTGTTCAGATGCTGAGGGTTGTTCATTTGGTGAGACCCAAAGTTCCTTGAAGATAACAATGAAATAGAATTCCCACAGAAAAAATGAATAATGAAACTCAATTGGAAAACTACCCCCCAGATGGGTAGTTTTCCAATTGAGTTTCATTATCCATGGGTAAGATTTGCCTACTTAGAAGACTATAAAGCATCCTTTACTGATAATCTCACTTTCTTCCTCCATAAATTGACTCATGCAGAAAATCACTTATTTGAGGTCAATGCCAGGTTAATGTTTTTAGAAAAGTGGTGTATTGAAGGAATTGGAGGAGCAAGGAACAGTGATTATGAAGGACATAAAGGTAATCATGTATAAGAGAAGGAGATTTGTAGAGGTGGGAGAAAGGAAAAGGGAAATAGTGATAATACCTGCATCTAGAATGACCCTATGAATAAGCACGTTTTCATCAGAGCTTGATGCTTACAAAAGACAGAGCTAACAATTAGCATTGGTCTACCTCTGTCTTGGATATGATCTTGAATTAATCTAAATGGTCAGTGCAACAGTTGAAGTTGCTCACCTGAAAAGACCAGGACAGAAAGTGCCCTCTAAAGCTTGGGAACCACTCATGCCTGCTCCAGTTCACTGTGAGTCTCTGGTATAGCATTGTAACATCATGGCTCAAAAGTTCTCACCCCGTAAGTTGGCCTTTACTTGCTAATAACTCTTTATTTCTTACTGTCTCTAAATACCAAACCTTCCTAACAAGGCCAGAAATAGAATTGGAGAGGGACAGACTTGGAACAAACCTCAAAGATTACCTTGTTGAGATCTATTACAGATGAAGAAACTAATGGTCAGAGACGAACAGGACCTGATGAAATTTCCAGAATTTGGAGCTTCTCTTCTTCCTTCTCCCTCTGCTTGAAAGCTTACAATGCCCATAGCTGAATGTCAGGTAACTAAAGAGTGGATTCAGTTGCAAGACCTAAAGAGGGAAAGAAGTTCACAGTCTGGCTCAAAGTCCTTTCTGTGTCCTCCAGAGATGCAGAGGGGAGAAACACTGAGCTCTGAGAGTCTCAACTCCTCCCTGGGAGATCCTTCTCCATTTCTCTCCAGTCTTTAAGGGGAATAGTTTCTGATTCCTCAAGCTCTGTCTGATCTCCTTTATCCTTTCTTTTGAGGCACAGAAGGAGGTATTGAATAGAAACAGATGCAGTTTGAGCTTGTACCATCCTTATAAAAGACCCTAAGAGTAATCCCAATTGCTTTTACACTGGATCAGGGGTCAGGACTGGGATTAGGATTAAGTGATGAAGAAGCACTTACTCCAGGCACAAAATATAAAGGGGTGTCAAAACACTCAGTAATCAAGATAAATAATATTTTAATGCAATGTTTTAAAAACTGTTGAAAATAAAAATAAATTCAATGCAATATAATACTTAATATACAAATATTAAAAATTTAAATAGTAGAATCTGAAGCTAATCCTAGTCTTGTCACTCTGGCTCTTCGAAGTTTTAGATATTTTATACATCAGAATTTTTGAATTCATTTTTATTTTTAGAAGATATTGAATTAAAATATTATTTATCCAGATGACTGGGTTTTAGAGGCAGTGCCCCCTTAAATTTTGCACCTTAAATTACTGTCCCTCACTTTACCTTAATCCCACACTTGCCTGGATGGAATTCATTCTTGGCTCTCATCAAATGATTCAGGGACAAGGAACAAAAAAAAATAAAAAAAAAAAATGAAGCATATGCAGACTTTATGATTTAATTCAGTGAATTTTTTTTATTGATGCAGAATTAAATGATTCCAACTCAGCAACATTGGAAGGACAAATTAATTACTAATGGCTACTTATATCACTCAAGGTTTTACCCGTATCCAAAGTTCAGGTCTGCCTCAGGGACAACCAGCTCAAGAGCTGCTGAGAAAGGACCACGGAGGATTGCAGACTCAGGTATTGATCTCAACTTATAAAACATATCCCTGGAAATTAACTGGCCCCAACTCATCACAAGTGATGAGAACAAACCCCTCTGTGGGGGGTGCAATTCGGTACCTGCAAGCAGGATATTTGGTGCCATCAGTTAGTTGACAAACTGTCATTTTGAACGTTATTGTGCTCTGGTAGCATAAAATGGTGGAGTGGTTTCGGCAAGTCACCTTGTTAGAAGCAGTGCAAATATTATTGAGTTTTTGAGGCCTCTCATGGATAAAGACATGCTCCTTTTTGCATGTGTGGTCAGGTTCCCGGATGATTCTTCGCAGGATCATGTGGTTACAGTACCTCACAGGAATGGCATTCTGAGGGTAGTCCACGTTCAAGTGCTCTATGGATGATCCCACTTCATCCTCATTCAGCTCGTTTTCCCAGAACAGAAGCATTAAGAAAACCATCACCATTAGTATCATCAGGGGTAAGATTTCCTTTACATTTTGAGCTTTAATTCCTGTAAAGTAAGGGAGACAGAAAGGAAGAGAGGGTAGTCAGATTCCTACTGCACCACCCCCTGGCTGCACCCCCATCCTTTTAGGAAACTTCATTTTTGACTCTCTGCTAATTAAAATCACGTTGAACCTGTAAGATCTGATTGGAATGACCGCTCCCCCGAAAAAGCCCCTCAGACCACATCAGCTCCTGGCTTTGTATTTAACGGTTTTCTAGTTATTTCCATTGTTTGTTCTGTCTCTACAGGCTCTTTGATAACAAGTACTTCATCTCTTATTTCTCCCAAAGCCTTCAAAATGCCTAACACAGGGCCGATGAGACAGAATTTGCTCAAAAATGCCCATGCCAAATTGTTTTATTCATACTGATGAATGACTTCCTTCCCCATAGCTTTCTCTGCCCTAGTTCTACCCAATTCCACATGCGTTTAGTCCCGTCTTCCAGTCTGTTCTTCTCAATTCCTCCTGGTATGGCTCCTGCTTGGGTCTGTGCTCTCTTCTCTCACCCGTTCCTTTTGCTGTTGCCCTCACAGGTAACATATCCTTTTGATCATGGAGCTGAGAAAATCCCTGGTGCCTTGCTGTTGCCCGACAATAACTGACAGGGAGCCAGTTGGGTGTGGGGAGGTCAAAAGTGGAAAGAGCAGAAAGGGAGGGACCTGTAGAGCAGTGTGCTTGGGTGCCACTGGGAAGGAAGAGAAGTTACCTTCAGAGGGAAAGGTAGGTGAGGCAGGTCCCAGATGGGTTCTCATGATACAAGCATGGACTTTTCAAAACATTTAGTGGAGTTCTGATGTGGTCTTTCCACAGTATTGCTCACTTTTAAAATTTTCAATCAGTCCTTACCACAAACCCATGAAGGAGCTACAGATAAGGAAACAAGTTGCAGAAAGGTTAAAGTGAAGATGAGAAATTACAAGGGTAACAAGAATCTCACTTTCTCAATGCTGAACACCTGAATTCTAGCTTCAGCAAATTTCACTCCCATGTGGTGTCTAGGACAAGGATAAAGACCTGGTTCAACTCACAGAAGGAGATTAGAGAAGGCAAACAGCTGTTAGAAACTAAAATTTGTATCAGGATGTAAAACACTATTAATAATTTCCTTAATTATGCATTTTGTCAAAGGAGCAAACTGCACTGCAGGATTGCAAGAGACATACCTAGCTCCAGTATTGATTGATTCTGGGCAGTGGCCTCAAGATAATAACAGAGGAAGTGAAAACCTGCTCTGGGTGGCTTCAGTCACTGTGTACAAAGTCTGATGATGTGAGGACACATAAGGACACCACAGGGATAGAAAGAGATGCCTGGCTCCATCTGTTTCAGCTCTCCCACAAGAAACTATGGAATTTACTTAATCTGCTACAAATGTGGTTGGCCACCCTTGCACAGCTTCTGTAATTTCCACAACTGTGCTTACTTTAAGGCAATGTGGCAGACTATTGGCGAAAAATAAAATGGCCACAAAATATTTCCTATTCTGGATTGGGAATATAGCTCAATTGGTAGAGTACTTGCCTTGCGTGCATAAAGCCCTGCCTGGGTTCAATCCCCAGCAACATCAAAAAAACAAAAAAAAAACAAAACCATTTCCCATCCGACATTCTTTTCCAGAACTTTGCCATTCCTTCATCAAGAAGTAGAGTCTATGTCTTTTCCTGTGAACATGGATGGCTTTTGTGCTTGCTCCCACTAATACAATATAGTGCCAGTGATACTATACCACTTCTGAGGCTAGGTCATACAGCTTGGCGATGGCTCTTTTGGGACATTTACTCTGGGAAACTTCAGTTGTTATGTGCTAAGTATGACTATGTTGAGATTACCACAAAGAGAGTTCACATGGACAGAAAGAGATGTCCCAGCAGCTCCAGAAGCCCCAGCTGTTTCTGATCCTTGATGCCCAAATCTTCCGCCTGCATGTCCTGGGTAGCCCCAGATGGCCCTGGGGAGAGTCCGGGGAGTGTTCTGGACTCAAATTGCCACTGGGCACAGGGAGCAAGAGCCTGTGAGACTGTGCCTCTGGGTCTCGGCAGTGGCATCCCGCTCCCTGGGCGGGGAAGAGCCGGCTGCCGCTGCTTGGAAAGTCCTTGCTTGCGCATGTGGCAGCCACCGCGTATTCATGCACCCTCCGGTAACGAAAAGTATTCAGTAATAGCCTTTTGCTGCAACTTTTTTCCTGATAATCCTTCTTCTGAACTTTCTTTTTCTTTTTGATTAGAGTTCCTGGGCTTTTATCAACACATGCCCTAATTGCTCTTGGTTCCATTGGGGTGCCTTCTTCCCTTAGTAATTTACTTCTTACCCCTTCCATATTTTCGTCACAAAGACAATACAACATTTCAAGACAAAACAAGACACAAACATACTGTATCAATCTTCTCCATTTTCTCAAAATGGTCATTTTTCCTCTCGCCCTATCTGCCTAGGGACGAACAGATTTGCTCCAGTCCTATCTAGGGACAGGCAGCTTTTTTTTCGTCACTTACCCCTGAGTGTCCCCAGGCTCCCCGTACGGGGCACCATGTGCCGCAGTCCGGCTGCAGCAAAATAACGGGGGGGGGGGTTGGGGGGTGTGTGATGAGCAACTTCTGTAGACTGATACAGCAGGAGTGGGAGCCGTTTATTGTAGGACAGGAGGGGTATACATACATTCCACACAGCTTATCTTAATTAACATAAACTAGATACAGCAGTCAACCAATAAGGAATCTCCACACTTAATGGCTCACTGGCGTTACCTCACAAACCACTCCCTTTGCAAAATGCCAGGTGCCATCTTGACTTGTTTACAGACTCTAACAACTTACTTTATAAGGTTTTTGTCACTTATGATAAATAACTTTTACCATTCACATATATATTGAACATACCTACATGAGGCAGACACTATACTAGGCACCTGGGACACATTAGTAAAAAGACAACTATACCTATCTCTCCCAGTGACTCTGAATCAACCCCTCTATATGAAAATTGGTAATTGAAAGTTTTAGTTTCTTTTTCCTTTTTTATGATGCTGAGGATTGAACTTTGAACCTTGCACACACTAGGCAAGCACTCTACCTCTGGGCCTGGAAAATTGGCAATTAAAATATAAGAATTATATTTTTATTCCACCTAGACTGAAAGAACTATATATCAGATTGAGCCATGTGGTGAATGCCTGTAATTCCACCTACTCGAGAGGCCAAGGCATGAGGATTACAAGTTCAAGACCAGGCTGGGCAACTTTGGGAGACTCTGTTTCCAAATAAAAAGGGGATTCAGAATGCAGTTCAGTGGTAGAACAATTGCCTAGTATAGTCCTATGTTCAATCCTCAACACTACAAAAAAAATTAGTGTGTGTGTGTGTATGTGTGTGTGTGTATATATATATATATATATATATATATATATATATATATATATATATTTCATAATAATCAAACAGCTTTCATGTGATGAGGGAAAATTCTTCAGAAAAGAATAGTGGCAAACACATATGAAAAGAATTATAAATTCAGAAAATTCACATTGTGCAATCACTAATGAAATAATTAAACCAAGAAAAAATTACCTGCTGGGACTGGGGATATAGCTCAGTTGGTAGAGTGCTTGCCTTGCAAGCATAAGGCCCTGGGTTCAATCCTCAGCACCAGTAAATAAATAAATAAATAAATAAATAAATAAATAAATAAATAAATTTACCTGCTGGGTGATTAAACTGTTAGAAGAGGGCTGGCTGTCACCACCTACAACATCACTGGACCTATACATCACTGGAAGAAGAAAGCTAGCTATTGGTACCTCCTAATATGGTGTGATAGGAAATACATAACAGGGTTTATGAAGTATTCTTGCCAAAGAATTGAGTTTAAATTGCAGTTCATAGAAAATTTAAGGAAAAGAAGCACAAGATTGAAAGTCCCACAAGGAGCCTATAATCCCAGTAACTCCAGAGGCTGAGACACAAGGATCACAAGTTCAAAGCCAGTCTCCAAAATTTAGTGAGACCCTGTCTCAAACAAACAAACAAAAGCTGAGGATGTTGCTTAATGGTTAAGCACCTCTGGGTACCAAAAAAAAAAAAAAAAGGAAAAAAGAAAAAAAAAGTCTCACAAGGAAAAACAATGAGACCAATCCAGAATATGAGACGTTACACAGGATAAATGACCAGTTTCTTCAGAAAGTCAATGGCCAAAACAGAGGGAGAAATTGTTACAGATTATATGAACTTTCAGATTTTGAATCTTATTTGAATTTTCAGAAAATATCTAAGAATTAATTTCACTATGTTATGTGATGGATATCTACCATATTGTCTATGCATCCATTTTTTGAATTGACAAATAATAATCATATATGTTTATGGGGTAAAATGTGATGCTTTGATATACAAATACATGGTAGAATGATTCTTTCAAGCTAATTAGCATAACCATAGGGAGAACATCTAAACTCTATTCTTTTAGCAATTTTTAAATATATCATATATCATTATTAACTATGGTCACCATGCTGTGTAATAGATCTTGAAAACGTATTTCTTCTGTCTAACTGAATCTTTGTACCTTTTGGTTAACATTTCCCTTTTCCCCCACCTCCACCCCCAACCTTAGTAACCACCATCTACTATGCATGTCTGTAAATTCCACTGTTTTAGATTCCATGCACAAGTGAGATTATTTGGTGTTTGTGTGATGGGATACATTATTTTTTCTCTCTACTTTTTGTATATATTTACATATATTTATTTAAAAAGTTTAAAGATAAGTGATGCATAATTTTAAATAAGATGGTCAGAGTAGATCCAGCCATTATAGGTTTGTTCCCCCCCCCCCATACTCCCCACCCCCCACCCCTCCAATCTCCCTACCCATGCCATGAGAGGGAAGAAAGAGGGAGACAGTCCATCCTTGGTGTCTCATCATGCTTCTCCATGGTGCGACAGCTATCTCTAGTCTGCTTCATTCTCTCA